CCCCCCCCCCCCCCCCCGAATATCAAGGGGTGTGTCTGTCATTTATTTATTTATTTACCTATTTCAAGTTATTTGTAAGGAAAATGAGCAATAGCAAAATGACAGAAATCCAGAATGCAAAATCACATTGAATGATTGAAAGCCAGAAAGTCCAACGCTCTCCAGAAAGCAGAAATGCACTGATATTCCACCAACGGAAAACCAAAGGACCGAATGCGAATGTCAATGAGAGCATACTCTCGCCACCACCAACATATGTATTCAGAGCCCTTCCTCCTACTTGGCGCTCAGCGCCCAGAGACTACGATCAGCCTACGAATTGACAATGCATCCTGTTGACATCAGCAGCAACAACCGAAGTACATGAAGATGTCGACCATGTAGACAATCGCCAAGACCAGGTACATGCCCTCACATCATCATCCTCATCTCTGTCTGTCTCTCTCTCTCTCACCCTCGACTTCTACGCCCACGTCTTCTCCCTCATTCACGAAGACCTCCACCACCTCCACTGGCTGAACCAAGCCAAGCCCGGCTATGGTTGGGCTGGCTATGGCACCGCCCTCAGCAGCGCCCTGCCTCTCGCACGACCGCACACGCGCGCACACTTGCCCCAAGTGCCCGAATGTCTGACCAGACCCCGCCCCTTTCCTATATAGAAAGTGGCGGGCATATTGCCACCCGCTTGCCTCGTCGGGCCGAGTTTCCAGTAGCTTCAGTCTCGGCCAAAGTGTCTGCGCCCCAGGCCCGTTCAGACTGTGGCCTGGGACCGAATCGGTTAGGCATGCCCAACCACCCGAAAAGGCACAAACGTGCGGCGCTTCCTGTTTCGACCACGTTGCTGGAAGAGCCTGGAAAGCTCACGCAGATTTCCGATTCTCACGAGTAAAGCGGATGTGACCAACTGGCACGTGACAACTGTCTGGCGCCCAAAAATTGACGAGTTCAGAGCACATTGGGGTTCAGGGGGCCCGCCGTCACTTAGGGCGGCCACGTTGCCTGCTGCAGGGCCTTATGCCGAGGGGGAAACCCTATCATATTTATTTATTTATGAAAAAAAAACAGCCTACTCACACTGGCATGCGAATTGAGACTATAAGATCGCCCGGATAAACTGTTTCGTCAAGTTGAGGCTTTCTTCTCCAGGTGTAAGGTCCCTGAATGACTGAAATAAGTGAAATCGCATCGAGGGCTATGATAAGCTCTGATGGTGTTCGATTTTCTGGGGTCTCGTCACTTTGATCTGTGTGTTTTCTGCATTAGCCGAAGACGGGTAATGGCCCCGGTACTGTATATGGTTATGGGACGTTGGGCCCGGTTGGCCCCGGTACTGTATATGGTATGGAATGTTGGGCCCAGTTCCCAGCACGTGCTGCTCCTCGCGAATAGATCGCAGCCTTGCTTTGTTTATTAAAAAAAAAAAAAAAAAAAAAAAAAAAGGAAGAGGTAAAACAAAAGGCCCCCAGTTGGATTTGTTGGGTTCCTTCTGGACTATTTGGGACTGTGTTGAGAAACCGAGCGAATCTCTCGCGGCTTTCGCCCCTGTGATAGTTGGTATCATCTATTAGGAACCTTAAATTTCTATGTATCCTTCGAGAGCGCACAACTTCCCTAGACACTGCTTTGGTACTATGGCATCCTTCGAGGGCTCACGGCTTACCTAGACACTGTTTTGATGCTATGGCGATGACGTGACGAGTATTAGGACAGTTGCCATAGACCAGTGTGAGATGAGGGTGCATGTATAGTGATTTGACTAGAATTTTATTGTTGACGCCTGCTTTTTCCTCCGTTCACTTCAGTCAGCCCCCTGACGACACAGAGTTGCTGGCTCAGCAGAATGATCTAGGGGCGATTCAGTCTGCCAGCCTGTTGCGCTTTTCGTGTAGTTGTGGTCGAGCGATTGCTTCGACGTGCATCAATCCTTTCGCTCTCTTTGAAGCATCATCTCATGGTTTTGGGATTTTGTAAGTGAAGTTTTTCAGTTGGTGTGTACTATGTAGTATCTCTGTGCATGCATTCATGGATTGTGTCTAGTCGGCTTAGAGCTGTGTGATGCACAAACTCGTCCACAGGGAAGCAATCTGGAAGTCCTAGCATTTATGTGCATTTATCTTCAGGTGAAAAAGTCCCAATATGAGTATGCCCTTTGGGCCTGTGGTGCCCAAGTGTTATGAACATGATTGTCCGTTGAAATTTTGTCAACGCTCACTCAGAGGAACTCCCGTACACGCCCATACATGCACAGAAGGAAGGGGAGAGGTAGTGGAGTGTCACACCGCCCAACAAAAGGAACGCAGCGGAAGACTCAGAAGAGCGAAGTGACAGAATACACAACACACTGGATTCTCTCAACAGAAGTCCCAACAATCATTCATAGAAGACAACCGAGAGATCACAGCCAGAAATCATTGAAGAGATGACAACTCAAACACAGTATTAAAACTGTTTATTAAACTCAGAGCATCGTTCCACTGAATAACCTCAGAACCCTGTTGCGCTACCCTCGGAAGGGTAGCGCCTCAACCCCACACACTATGAACAGCTAATTATCGCACCAGAACCCCAGGTAACACCCAGCGGCACCCTGACATCCAACTCAGTGGCCTGCGCCAGTCTGAAACAGGATCCCAGAGCCAATCGCCACTCAGATGATGAAGAAGGAAGAAGCCCACCGTCAACAGTCTCTGATGGAGACGACGACAATCTCTGAGAAGATGCAGCTATGGCTGCATCGCCACTGGGACCCTACTCCTGAGGAGGGTCAGCAGTGCACCACGTGCTCCAACGCATCAGACCTCCCATAGCCCAGACCGCTTCGACTCCCAGAGAGTCAGAGCAGACAGCGTTGACCCCAGTCTGGCCAGCGCTCTGAAGGTCCAGCTATGTCCGCTGTCTCTCACGCATCAATCAGTCGCCACGACCTGATGCTGCGTGCGCAGCAACTTCCACCACGAAGTGTCAACTGCCAGAAGCCCTGGACTGATGCTCTCAACCTATCTATACTCTACCCTGGCCTAGACTCGACCTAGACCGGACTGACTGACCGACCGGTACCGTTTCTGTTTCGGCCCCTCGGGCCTCTCCCTACCCGGCTATAGGCTATAGGACCGTCTATCAGCATAGGCCCTTAGGGCCTGTCTGTCCTAGGGGTAGCCCGGGTCT